CCCCCCCCCCCCCCCCCCCCCGAAAAATACTGGTATTCTATCATGGAGTCCAGTACCAGGTGACTTGATCACATGATCCTGCAGTGTCAAAGCAGTCATGGGTCAGAGGCTGTTTGTAGAATCCCAGGAAAGCTCCTCAAGAAGGTGGGAGATTAGCCTATTCAAAGACCTGTTGTTCTGCCTAATGGTCTATTGACTTGTCCCCAGCTAGCCAGCCAGACTGATTGCATTTTGTCTGGTGGGTGTTCCCCAGATGCAAACACTTTTGTAGTACAGCTGTATAGTCAATATTCCTAACTTTAGATAAAAAAGATACAGCATACAAATAGGATAATCATATTCAGTAAATCATAACTTTTTCAATGATACGTCACGTGACTTATCTTGTGTAAAATACATCTTAGTTATGCCATAATCACATCATGACAATATGTCTATGAAGAATATGGGGGGGGGGGGAATTGTCACAGTGGCATCTTCTCCCAGGATATAATTTTTTATTTAAATGTTTGTGTTGGGAGGAGATAAATGGAAGACATGACTTCCACTACATGCTAATAAATCCTTTAAAAGACTTGGAAATAATTTAAAAAAAAATACGTGGGCTGTTAAGGCTGCTTCTGACTGCAAAGATGCAGTGCACTAAAATAAGCGATCTGAAGAATTGAGGTGCTTCAGATAGTCATATCTAATTCCTTTCCTATAACTCCATGATTTGTCTAATTTCATGCCTTCCACCCTCTACACTTAACAGAAATGGCACTCACCAAAGTCTCTAATGACCTCTTCCTGGTCAGATTTCAGGGCCAGTACTCCATTGTTTCATCTTCACCTGTTGGCGGCATCTGACACTGTTGATCTTACTCTTCTCACAATCCTGCCCTCTCTGGGCTCTGTCCTTGGCTCCCTCTTTTTTTTTTTTTCTTTTTTCTTTTTTTTAACCTTTTTCTCTGGATTATCTCTTGCACAAATATGGTTTTGAATACCATATTGATGATGACTGGCAAATCTCTCTCTTGCTCTTTCCATATTGAAATCTCAGCATGTCTTTGTTCATCTCCTTATAGATGTTCAGCCATCAACTGAAGCTTAACATCACCAAAATGGAAATTAAAAACACTTTTTTTTATATTTAACCCTATTATAAATGCTGGAGATGAAGCGATATTTGGGGTGGAGGCTGACAGCTCATGACCCTCAAGTAATAACCTTGTGACTCCCTGAGGGGTTGCGACCCGCAGTTGAAGAACCCCTGGTCTAAATTATGATGTGTTTTCCTGCACATCTCCAAATCTGACCCCTCCTTTGTGCCCACACTGGTAAAACTCTTGTCCATGCTGTAATCTTCTCACGCCTTGACTACTGCAATTTCCTTTTCTTCTGGCCTTGACGCCTGAAGCCTCACTTCCCTGAAATCTATTCAGATTGCTGCTGCCAAGATCATGTTGGCTCAGCGCACTGTCATCCTGTGTTTAGTTCCTCCTCTGGCTTCCCCTATTCCACTGTATCAGAGTCAAACTTCTCAAAGCCCTTCACAACCTAACTCTGACCTTATATGTTACAGTAAGGTTCATACCCACCTTACCTCCATCGGTGATGTCAGCCCCCAAAACCCAGTTCTCTACTCTGATAAGCACTTCTGTGGGAAATGTGCTCAGTCAGAATCCATCAGAATTCATCTCTTCAGAACTCACCTCTTCTGTAATGTTTGCAGGAAAGTACAACCAGATAAAGGCTGGACAGGTTGCAAATTGTGATTACTGCTTTTCATTGGCTAAGAATTGTGCAATTCTCTTTTGTTTTATCTTGTCTCCTTCATTCCACCCTTGCCCACATGTCTCATCCACCTGTTATGTTTTGTCTCTTTAGTTTTGTAAACTTTTTGGGAAAGAGACTGTCACTTGCATCTCTGCCCTGGCCTGGTTGGCCTCTAGGTGTTACAGGAATGTGAATAAAAATAAGATCACTTCTGTGAAGAGCTGCTTATCTAAGAGAGAAGAAGAGTATGCAATACTAGGTTTTTTTCCTCTCTTATTTATTTTTAATTGTTTGTATTTAATTCTATGTTTAAATTCACTATGTTCATATGCAAGCTTGAATCAGATTCAACTCTCTGTGTTCTTAATGCTTTTTGTAGAAAACTAACCCTTATCATTCACCTCCATGAGCTCATGCTCATGCTTTCTACCTCCAGCTATCTCACTGAGTGTCTCAAGCTAGAGTTATTGCCTCTCCGTTCTCAAGCACTCAGCCCCATGGCATGAAACAAGTACTGGAGAGTTTGTCTTGCTGATCTCCTTGAATGCAAGGGTATATGTGTGTACATGGGATATTCCTTCTCCTTCACCAGGGAAGCCTGAGTTCTTTTATAGTCCACCCGCAGGGGAGGAGATGGTGGGGTCTCCTACCTTGTGTGGTGGAGGGTGGAAGAGGGTGCTACCATAGCTACCTTATAGGGATATTGCAGTATTTCCATTTTGCAGAAGTGGAGGAAAGTGGTCTGCCCAAGACAATACAGTATGTCAGAGGCAGAGCTGGAATTAGAACTTGGGACCTCCCTAGCCTACCATGTTTGCGTTCTGTTACACCATGGTGCCTAAAGTGAGTTTAATTCTTAGGGATTAAAGGTGGATTTAAGTTGCCTATTTTATTCTTGGTAAAGCTCTTTCATGTAATAAATTTCACTTTGACATTGTTGGTTCAAAACCTTAATTTTATAACATATCTGAAGTTAGACTAATACGTGTGTAAAAACAGAATGACATTTCATTAACTAGAGATGAAAGTTAATGGCTGCCTGACCAAGTTTCTCCTTCACATAGGTTCCTAAAGTTACTCACACTGAATTCTGTCAAGGCCGTACCATGAGGTGGGCACTGGCATGGAGTTTCTACAATGATGTCCGTGTGCCTGTAAGTGCCTGTGTTTTGGTTTGTTTTTCATGGTCATCTACACTTCATTTGGGGGTGGGTTTAACAAAGCTATTCCCCTTCAACCTAGAGTATAGGATATAATTATCTGAGCTGCATTTCCTGCATGGCAGTACAAATCTGCACCATGGCCAGTTAAAGCCTTGTTCTGCCCCCCCGTCCATCCGTTACATGTCACTTGATGTTTGTATCAAACCCAAACATACGTTTAGATAGGCTTGGCAGAATTAGATTTTTATCAGTAAATGTCAATAAACATTCATTTCACCGTACATGCACAAACTGATGAAAACATATTTTGATAATCAAAATTTACGGATAGGTAAAGTAAGAAAAATACTGCTTGTAAAAATATTAGTTTGGTTTAAGGATATTTATTTTGTATATTTTGACACATGATGTTTGTCATAGTTCAGGTCCGGCAAGGGCACCCACACTCAGGCCTTCAGCTCCCCAGGTTTTGCCTCTCCTGGTTGGAGAAACACATCCCTTTCCTTTCTAACGGGTATTTCCAGACTTCACAGTTCCCTGCCTACACTGTTATCCCCAGCAAAGACTGGTTGCCTGACAAGATCCTGCTTGCTTTCTCTTAAGAGACCGTTAACGGGTGCAATTGCTACAGTTAAAAGGTACAGCACTTCCTATGCAAGCCTATTTGATTCTTAAGATAAAAAGCATTACTGAGAAAACACATTTAAAAACAAGAAAAGGACCCACGCACATGCTAATAAGCTTGCCAGAGTTAACTCCAACCCTAGCATGGATTCTGACAGGAGCAGTCCTTCAAACCCCTTACCGAAGGGGGATTTCTTGTCATTACAAGTTCATCACAGCTTTAGCTCAGAACAAGTCCCCAGTATTATGAGGCCTCAGGAGGCCCAGTCCTTCCAACCCTACCCTACTGATTGGGGCTCTCTGTTGACCAGGGTTCCTGTCCATTTGCTGGATCAGGAAGAAGGCCATGAGCCAGTTTAAAACCAAGCTATTTATCCAGAAACCCGTTCTTTGTCTTTTGGACTTGGAGAATCAAGTTTGAACTACAGTAGAACCTCAGAGTTACGAACACCTCGGGAATGGAGGTTGTTTGCAACTCTGAACAAAACATTATGGTGGTTCTTTCAAAAGTTTACAACTGAACATTGACTTAATACAGCTTTGAAACTTTACTGTGAAGAAAAATGCTGCTTCCCCTTCATTTTTTTAGTAGTTTGTTTAACACAGTACTGTACTGTATTTTGTTTTTTCTTTGTGGCTCCTGCTGCTTAATTGCTTACTTCCGGTTCCAAATGAGGTGTGTGGTTGACTGTTAAGTTCGTAACTCTGGTGTTCATAACTCTGAGGTTCTACTGTAGTATATGTGCACCTTTCCAGGGAGGTGGCTTCTCTGGGGATGTTACAACCTGAGTGAATTTGCCTAGTTACTCCCTACTGTTCTTCTATTTACCCTTCCTGTGACATTGTATGTATTTCCATGGGAATACACACAATGTACCCCAAAGGCATTAACCCTAATTCAGTAGGGTTTAACTTAATTCCATAAAGTTTGTTCAGAATATTCTAGGATATTGTCAGTCTCACATTGGTGACAGTTTGGTTTTTTTAATGGTCATAAAGCTTTAATGTTTTGAGTCTCAATGTCTGTCATTAATAATTGTCTGACCCCACCATAATTTCCCAAGCCTTCGAAAATTTAAATGGATAAAAATTTAAAAAGCTTAAAAAAATAAGTATTTGTCAAATTTATATTAAAAAAAAATCTAATTCTGCCAAGCCTCTCTATAGAGAGAACTCAAGTCAGCAAGGCCTCTCTGATGGGCTTCAATGTGAGCTGCAGGTTCCCTGAAAATCAGGCCACTTCCACTTCAGTGCTTAAATAAGAATTTAGCAGCAAAAAATTACCCCCTTATGAACATTTGAAAATATCCAGGTCCTTACACTCACTTATGTAAGTTGAACTGAAGCTTGTTAATGTATCTATATTAAATCAAAGCCTGCTTCTCCTTTTTAGATCAGTGTGTATGTACTTTTTGCACAGGTGTTTGTGGTAACTAATTTTACAAGAGAGATACAGTGATACACCTGTGTGTGATCAGTATCAAAACGTTAGTGGCTTTCATATGTAGTACCAAGAGAAACGCTTATAGTAATCTGAGAAATGGCAGCTGAAGGAAAGCATAATTGATTCTTTCTAATATCTTAAGGTAAAAGTCACCCCTGTGCAGCAGGCCAGTACAAAGCATATTCATCTCTTAAGTCCTACTTAAAACCCTCTTGAAGGCTTAAGTGATACACAGGCCATGACAGTGAATGTACATGGTATTACGGTAGAACCCCGTTTATCTGGTCTAATTGGCCCGGGGCCAGATCAGATAATCAAAACACTGGGTAAACCCAGGAATGGGAAAATGTGATGCTGCACTGCCATCTAGCCGCCACAACAGAGATCACCTGCTTCTGGCCCTGGAGTCCTGGTTGTTCAGTAAATGTGGAGAGTCAGTTAAGGGAGGATCGGATAAACAGGGTTCTACTGTATGGACATTGGCATGATGCAGACTCTTTATGTCCTAGGTGTTAAAACCGTCCCATTAGTGCTGCACACTTCTGATGTTTGTAATTCATTTGTTGTGTTCCTTTTTTCAGTCACCTCCCTCTAAAAGAAGGAAGTTAGAAAAGCCCCGGAAGCCAATTACATTTATAGTGTTGGCATCCACAATCAAAGAGTTATCCATCAAGGCTTCAGCTATGGGCTGGGATGCTGTGGAAGGCATAGCAGTGGTTACAAAGTGGATAGAAAAAATACTGACTGATCTGAAGGTACAGTATTAAGCATTACCTGTTAGAACAACATGCTGCTTTCAGGCATAAATGTAAACTTATTTAAAGTAGAGTGATTATGAAGTTCTGCTGTTCTCTACAATAGGTTCAGCATAAGTATGTTCCCTGTGGAGAAGATGAAGTTAGTCTGTTTCTAACAGCCATTGAAAACTCTTGGGTTCATTTAAGAAGAAAGAAACGAGAACGAGTAAGGCAGCTACGAGAACTTCCTCGAGCTTCTGAAGATATTCTGCAAGCAATGGAAGAAGAGAAGAGCAGCCAGAAAGACTCAAACAACCCAGAGTGTGAACAAAACAAGACTGAAAACTTCGAAATGGGGTCAGTGATGCTTGATGAGGATGTCAGCTCAGCCAAGAATGACAGGCAAAGGGAAGATTCCCCTGCCAAAGAGGAAAACAATGAGGAACTCATGGAAGAGGAGGACATAGAAGCAAAGCAAGCAGAAACATTAGGTGGTGAAGACTCCAGTGATGCAAAGGAGGAGCCTGATGCTGGCAATCTAACAATGGAAAAAGGACAAAGTCCCAAAGGAACTAGTGGACACTTTCTTTTTAAGTGTTTAATAAATGTGAAGAAAGAAGGGGATGATGCATTAGCAGAGATGCACTGGGTTGAAGGACAGAACAGAGATTTAATGAACCAACTGTGCACCTACTTACGAAATCAAATTTTTCGACTGGTTGCTAGTTAGCCCTTATTCAGAATATGGTAGAAATAGGTCAGTTCTAGATATATTTTTTTGTAATCTTTTTAATAGACTAAAAGAAACTTTGTGCTAACAAAGTTTTTTAAGAAGAAATGACCAAAATTGAAATTAAAATCAACTTTATTTTTAAACAGAGCCTTTTTTAAATACAAGGAATCATAGGTATATAACAATGAGGGGTAGGAGCAGCAGTGCTTAAAAAGCACTTCAGTGTCTAGCTGTAAAATTGCATGATAAATGGAAACCTATTTTAGCAATAGCTCTGCGGTTGGTTTCATATGGCAACATTACAGCTGATTTCTGGTCTTTCTGATCCGACTTGGTGGAAATGCAGTTCTCTTTGCTGAATAGAAATAATCATTACAATATTAAATTTTTACATCATTATTATTGCAGGAATATAAGGGTTTTTTTCAGCCATTACTCATATAGATTAGCCTGCAACTCTGTGTATTGTCTTTTGCAGCCAGGAATCTTCCTTGAAGGGATGGCACTTGCCACCCTCCTCCATCTCCTTTCCCTATGTGTTTGCCCTCAGCTGAGCGACATCTTGATAACAGGTGACAGCTCTTTGAATGACAGCTCATAAAAGCACAAAATAATATGGGAGAGCTGGGTAGCTTTAGAGATGTTCATGAATCTTGAATTTTCGTTAATGGGCTAGATTAGAGTCCACTATTTAACAAATATCAAGATTTGCATAGATTTTTTTTTTTGCTTTTCAAAAGCTTAAAAATGAAAAATGATTTGTGCTCCTCCTCCAACATACAAGTTAAGAAAAATTTAACTGTGGCACACGTTGTTTTAGACCATGTATCCCCACTGATACAGGAGATGAAATGCAGTGTGGTGGTTTCAAGCAATTATTCCTGAAAGACTGGGCTTCACTTTAAACTTAAATTTCTTTGAAGTATTTAATGAGGGTGGGGCGAGAGAGAGGGAGAGAGAGAATTGGAGTATATGTCCCTCATCTCCATGGACCAGAAAAACTCATCACAGGGGATAAAAGTATGGATAGGAAAACAGATTAATATGATGAACAGTGAAGGGGGGATAGAATTCAGCTGTAGAACTCACAGAATTTGGGGTATCAACTGCTGAGGTCTTATGCTTTTGCACGTGCTTCAGGGCCCTGTGCCCTCTCTAGTTGGAGCTGTACTGCCAGAGTTTCCTTGGCCACTGCTGTACGTGGAATCTATTTCCCTCAAGTGCTATATCCCCACAGCAGGGATTCTGCATCAGGCTGCATTAATCTTCTTTCACACAGGGTTGGTGGAGGAATTATGGGCATTGCTATCCCCATCCACCAACCAGCCTCCCAAGGGATGAGCTTGTCCATGCAGAGGTTCTCCACAGGGTGTGGAGAGGACAGGATAGCTGATGCTCTCTCTGGAAATGGCAAGATCTGTTAGTGGAGGGTTCTGAAGTGGCCCAGTGACAGGAAATGAGTTGCAACATTAAGTATGCCTTATACTGGTATGGGCCATAGATATAAAAGTGAAATCTACAATAGGAGAAAGATACATTATTGACTTCTTGTAGCAAATGCACCTGTTCATGCTGTTGGGATCACTCTGAATATGTGTTATTCATCAAGGGTTCCAAAAAATTCAGCAGAAACTGTACATCCTGTCTTTTGCACCACAGCAGGCCAGAGAAACAAGATATACTATTTAAGTCCTGTCCTTAATCTCTGAACCTCTGGTAAACAGTTACACAGTATTGGATTTGATATCATAAAATCGTTCTGGTACTTCGTTTTTATTAAATTATTTTATTTGGATCAGATTTTAACACAACTGAGGTAACTGAAAGGAAATTGAGGTGATGCAATCTGACCTGGACCATTATCTTTTAAAAGAATGCACTAAATGTTGTCAAATTGCCTGAAAATGTAATGATTTCCTTGAAGTGTCATATACTGCAAGTAAAATTAATACTATGTTTGTTTACCATAAAAGTAAAAAATGGAGAATATATTTGTATAGAAGAGACTCTAAAATATTTATGCCTTTGACTTAATGGATTCAGTTTTGAGTTAGAAAGATCAATGTTTTTCCTGTGTAGCAGCGAAGAAAAATACTTCTGAGTGAATTTTAAATTTGTTCTCATGTTTCATTAACCAACAGATGTCATGCTAGTTAACTATTTTATCACAGATAATAGGCAGTGGTTTATATTTGATTAGGAAAATGTTATATATAAAGCCCTTAAAGAGGGTTATTGATTGTACAGCCCGTGGTTCTCAAACTCTGGTTTGTAGCCTGCTGATTTTGCACAGAGCTGCTTCCTGAAGCAGTGATGCTTTATGCTAATTGTAGTTTAATCAGACTTAAGAGTTTTGAGAGGTTCTTTTGGACACCTGAACTACTTAAACAAAAAAACAAAAACAAAAAAAAATCCAAGTCCCACAGAACCCAAAGCCCTCTGTACCGTGTTTGGCTGTTCCATGGGCTTCTGAAAGGTGTTTTTTTTAGTGTAAATTTACAAAGTATAGTCTTTTGGAAATGTAATTAAAAATCAGAGGGCAATGTTAGCTCTAGGGAGAGAGGGATTTGGGACCAGCTGTTCTGTGTGGTAGCTTCCTTTAAAAACCAGCTCCTAAAAGGTGCCATTTTGGCAGTCACAGAGACTAGTTACCTGTTCATCCAGAGAAGGGATAAAGTAACAGTAAAGCTTCTCAACGCTGCATTGCTGTGTGCCTCTGACGTGGATTTCATCTAGGGTTTGAGATTGTCTATCCAGTCTGTGGCCTTTCTATTTATTACTATAGTGCCAAGGAGCTCTAGGCATGGGCCAGCACCCTGTTGTACGACACAGAACAAAAGATGGTCCCTGCCCCAAAGAGTTTACAATCTGAGTAGAAGATGAGATAACAGATTATCTGCCACTATCGATAACTGCCACTTGTGATGATGGTTTTGTGCTGAGGGAAAATCCAATAACTGGATAACATTTGTTCAGCACTGAGGTATTAAAAGTAGCCTGCTACTGCATGAGAATCAAATCCTTGTCCATGTTGGTTAACGAAAGTAATGGAGGAATAACCTGTGTCCAGTACTTTCATAGATTCAGTTTTGTCAGAGAGGGCAAATGCCAAACAGCCACGAACCACTAAGCTGGCTTCTAATTTTCCCTGGGGTAGCTCAGCCCCAGCCCCCCCACTCCACCCCTTTCCCCAAGGCCCCCCCATCTCTTCCTGCCCTTCCCCTACGCGCACCCTGTCCCTGCTCCTCCCCCTCCCTCCCAGTGCCTTCAGCAGTGTACAGGAGACACTAGGAGGGAGAGCGTGAGCGGAAGGAGTTGATCAGTGGGGCTGGTGACCCTGGACATGACTTGTGGACACCCTGGTGGTCTGCGGACCATCACTCAGTTATAAAAGTAGGGCTGGCCCATTTCAGACTCTGTCCTTTAAAATGCTAAATGGCCTCAACATCTAGGTGTCTTAAAGATCATCTTTCCACAATTCACAGGCAGTTGCTTCTCTTGGAGCACATAAGTTGATGGCATCTAGGTGTGAACTCCCACAGGTAAGTCAATGCAGCAGGTTGGGAACTCTGCAGCAGCTTAATTTAAATTGAAAAAAAGTTTAAATACAAAAATGAGTACAATCTGTGCTGTCTTGCACACCAGCGTGGACAGTGCGCTAAAGCCAAATCAGGGTTGTGTACTGAATTAGGTGGTTATTTGTAGGACCCTTGCCTCTGTTGCAGAAGTTGGAAGATGTGTAGTGAATAAGGTAGTGTGCTTTGCTGTTTTTGTAGTGGCCTGGAGGCAGAAAGGGTGGAGCCCTGTTCTGCATCCCAATTTCTGTATGATGCTGGGGAAGTAATTAAAACCACTTTTATTTTGCAGTTGTATATTCTAACTACATTCTCTTATTTTCTTGGGGTATAGCAGGAGCCTGATTTTCAAAAAGGCTGAAGGTGCCCAACTGAGCCTGAAATCAATGGGAGTTGAGTGCTCAGAACATCTGGAAAATGTGATTCCCAGGTTTCTCAGGTGCTGAGGGTGAGGGAGGGAACAACGACCAGCCAGGGGTCACCCTTGCAAATTTTGCCTGCTTCTACCCGCCCGTGGGGGAGTGGTTAGGTGCTGAAGTTTTGCAGTTGTAAGGTACCAGCTGGGGAGGTGGTGTGTTCTAAAGCTTGTTTAGTGTGAAAATAAAAAAGCATTAGAACTGCCAGCTGCATTGTGTCCCGATTTCCCAATGCCTAAACCCCAGTTCGCTGATGCCGCAATGCAAGACCTGGATGCTTGGCCCCCGTGCTCCCTTCTAGCCTTGGAACCTGGGCAGCCTTGGGTGGGGCTATTGACTCCTATCAGCCCCATGGGAAGGGAACCAGGGCCTTATGCCCGCTGCGCCCTGTGCGGCTGTACTAATAGGGGAGCATCTCCTCGCCCGCACGAAGCCGCCTGGCTGCAGGGCGCTCACAGCCTGAACCGCAGAACGGGAGGTGCGGGGGCAGCTGCCCTCAGGGTCTCGGCTCTCGGGGCAGCGCTGTGGTTAGCCCTGGACCTGGACGCTGCGGCGGGCCCGACCCCGGCCCAGCTTCCCGTGTGCTTGCAGGTGGAGCCGCCGGCGCAACCTGACCGCCTGGAGCGCGGGGGCGCTAACGAGCTGCGCTTCCCCCGCGGGAGCCTCTCCAGACTCTGGCTCCGTGGCCTCGCGCTCTCTGATTGGCTGGCCGCGCGCTCTGGTTCCGTTAGCCCGCTCTCCATGGGGGGCGGGGCGCGGTGCTGGGGTTTGAATGGCTGAGCGGGAAGATGGCGGCGGTTTGGCGATGGGGTCTAGTTCCCGGGCTGGTGGCGCCAGGAGGCCAAGACGGGGTGGCCTGGCCCGTTCCCCACCCGCTCCCGGGGGCTGCAGCCACTTCGGGTCCGCGGCCCCCGCCCGGCCCGTGCTGAGTCCCCCGCCCGGCCTGGAGCGCTCCCTGTGGGGCAGCGGCAGCCCGAGCCGCTCAGGTACCGCCCGGCGCGCCCGCTCCTGCTGGGGGGGGGTGTGTGACCGATCCGGGCCCTGCCCCCGCCGGTGGGGAGTCGGATCCAGCCCTCCAGGGGGCTGGCGGGGGCCGCGGGAAGCCCTGGCAGAGCTTCCGGCGGCGCCGGCTCCTGAGGCGTCTGGTCCCAGCCCGGGTGCGCCGGGGCGCCCCTCGCAGCGCTGCCGCGGGGGCAGGGCAGGGAGCGGCAGCACCCGCCGGGCAGCGGACGAGAGATGGGAGCCGGGCCCCGCGGTGAGGGCCGCCCTGTGATGTCCCCTGGATAGGGAGCCGCGGGGCGCAGCGCCCCTGAGCCCACGGCAGGTTCTGCGTTGGGAGAACAGGGCTGTTTGCTACGGGGGCCCAACATTCAGTGTGGGTAGGGGGAGGGGAGTAGCGTAAAGGGGAATCAAATTTTCCCCCTTCCTGGCTGAGAGGGAGATACAATGCAGGCGACTTGTAAATTCTTATGGGTCAGGAGCCATTTGTGTGTGTTGTCAGCGCCTAGCACAATGGGGCCTCTAGGTGCTACCAAAACACAATTAATGCATAGTACTATTTACATTTCTTGGGATAGAAAACGAGGCTCATAGATGTGCTTTAATAAGAAGAGTAGAGCAAATTGGCAAGGTGATTCATTTGGATGCAATAAGCTCCCTGTGGTCCTGATTGTAGCTCCCTGATATCTTCAAGCACACAGGCGTGTGGAGTGACTTTCAATTTAATGTTTAATATCCTGTGTCTTCATTCCCTTTCACAGCTCTTCTGTAAACACTGACATCTCTCAGACTCTGTGTGCAGACATTTACCGCCTTATGCTTGATATAATGCTGTCGGATCAAGGCAAACAGGGTTGGGCAGGGTCAGTGTTTGGATGGGACACCTCCTATAAAATGATTCAATAAGTGACACTCCTGAGTCACCCAGTGCTAGCTGGTGTTGATGGAGGCTTGTACTGCGGGGTTAAAATGATCAATGTAGATGTTCAGGCTTGAGCTGGAGTCCAGGCTCTGAGACCATCCCCCCTCACCAGGTTCCAGCCTGAGCCTGAACATCTACATTGGTATTTTTAGCTTTGCAATGCCAGCTCTGCCGTGTAAGCCTGAGCCAGTTGACCCAGGCTCTGAGACTTGTTGATGTGGGTCTTTTTTTATTGTGTGTAGACGTACCCTGATTGCCCCTTGAAAGTCTTCACTCTGTTGTGTGGTGCTGCTGCCTTTGTTGCTTGATCCCTTTGTATCCTTAATATCTTAGTTTCTGTGCTGTGGGATCTTTGAAGGTGAAAGCTGCTCCTTAAAGCTGTAGACACAGCCTTTTATTTTTAGGGGGTAGGGAGCGAACCTCTTACCAGTGCTAGCTTGGGGAGGCAGGGTGTGCTAATGAGGGTTCTAAATTAGCTATAACAAGGCACGGAGGGGTAGGGGGGAAATCTGGGGCAAAATTGCGGCAAAAACTGAAGATTTCTGCTCCATGTGTTGCTGCACTCAAAAAAAGGAAACAATGTTAGGATGAATAAGAAATGGGATGGAAAATATAAGGACCATTATAATGCAGGGGCGGGCAAACTTTTTGGCTCAAGGGCCACATAGGGGAATAGAAATTGTATGGCAGGCGATGAATGCTCACCAAATTGGTTAGGGTGCGGGCTCTGGGGTGGGGCCGGGGATGAGGAGTTTAGGGTGTAGGAGGGTGCTCCAGTCTGGGACCGAGGGGTTCGGAGGGTGAGAGGGGGATCAGGGCTGGGGTAGGGCGTTGGGGCGTGGGGAGAGGCTCAGGGGGTGCGGCTCCAAGCGGTACCTACCTCAAGTGGCTCCCGGAAGCAGTGGCATGTCCCTTCTCTGGCTCCTACACAGAGGCACGGCCAGGCGGTTCTGAATGCTGCTCCATCCACAGGCACCGCCCCTGCAGCTCCCATTGGAATGCGTAGGAGCCGGAGCGGGGCCATGCTGGTGCTACCGGGAGCCAACAGGTGCGGCCCCCAACCCTGCGCCCCGGCCGGAGTGCCGGAGCGGGGCCGAGCCGCGTGGGGTGGCCCCCGGCTGGAGCGCCGGAGCGGGGCCGTGCCGCGTGGTGCAGCCCCCGACCCACCAGAGCAGGGATGAGCCGCATGGTGCGGCCCCTGGCCGGAGCAGGGCCAAGTCACATGGTGCGGCCCTCGACCCAGTGCCCCGGCCGGATTGGGGCCGAGCCGCGTGGTGTGGCCCCTGACCCATCGCCCCAGCAGGAGCGGCGCTGAGCTGCATAGGGCTTTGGGTCGGGGGCCGCCCAATGCGGCATGTCCCCGCTCCGGCTGGGGTTCTGGGTCGGGGCTGTGCCGTGCCGTGTGGGGTGGCCCCCGGCCAGAGTGCCGGAGCGGGGCCGAGCCGCGTGGGGCGCCCCGGCGACTTGTCCGGA